AGCTGGAGGCAGCTGTTTTGAGAGTCCTAAAGGAACCAATCCCCTATGTGTAACATTGTTCGTATGGGAAAATTGGTTCCAAGTTATGACCGTTTGACTTATGACATGGTTTTCAGGAACCAGTTGTGTCATAAGTCTGAGGACTGCCTGTACAGTCAACGTACATTGTTTTTGTATGTTTTTTCTATAAATATGGGTAGCGACTGAACTAACAGAAGCACATTTTGTAGGCCGCTGCCAAACTCTTCTACGTGCAATTTTTAAAATATATATGTACGAAGCCATACACAAGTTTTTGGTCAACAATAAGAAGTTATGTTCTCCTTTTTCTTAATGTATAGGTTAAGTCTAGTGGCTTCAGGTGGGGAGCAATCACCCCTTCTTTGTCCTTGGTTTAGTCAGAAATAATTGTAGGTAAAATCTGCAGTATGAACGACTTGGATTTCACTGGGCATCTGGGATGTTTAGAAATCTGAAAATCAAGCTATTTTTTGATGGATATCACTTGAAAATCCAGCAGTCTGGGAAAGTAGGGCAGCCACAATCCGCTTTAAAACTTAAGTTTTTATTATTGATATGAACATTTTCTAAATCCTAACCATGTGGGAAACAATATAACCATACTCTGGGCTTATCTATGGGCATTGCATCACTCCATTTAAAACCTTTTTTTTAAGCACATTAGACCTAGGCTGAATAGCCTTTCTAGCTTTTAAAAGATAGGATTCTTTTATACTTAAAGGGTGCAGACCTGATCAAAAGTGAACCTCTTCCTGTATATTTGCAGATAACAGCTCCTTTTAAAATATTTTAGACTACCACCACAACATTGCAGTGATTTAAAGGCATTAATAAAAAAGAAATAGCACCTTTAGATAAACTAGTCTGTTTAGACCAGACCTTAAATGGTTATAAAATCTTAAGATTAGCAGATGTGACCATGTATATAGCAATAATGCTATTCCTACTCAGTTTTCAAAACCTGTGGCAGAGTGTGATCATCATCTACAAGCTTGTCAGTCAGGAGATGCCATTCACTGCTGGATTAAAAGAATTCACAATAGTTGTAGCAGAAGAAACTTATGAGACTTCACTACGTTTGTACAGGCAAAAGTATTTGGGATTTATCTTATTTCTGCTGTAGATGAAATGAACCAAAAATAGATTACTTTATAAATCCATAAGAAATGATATTTTGCCAGTTTTTGTACTTGATTACAATTGTGTATCAAAATATCAATTGTGGTGTTTGCTTTCTTTTTTAGTGTCTCCACCAACAAATGTTGAAATGGAATCCTTCAACTTCAAGACTTTATTGCGCTGGGATTACTCAAGCATGGTTCCAAATGCTCGTTTTACTGTCGAAATCAAACCCTATCAGTAAGTTTCTGTGCTTCCTGTAGCTTTTTCCTTAGATGGCATATGTGGTGATACTCCAGGATAAATATTTTTATTTCCACGTAACAAAATTGTGTGATCCATATGGAGCTCAGTGGAAATTGACATTTTTTATGTTTTCTCTCCCACGCAATATAATATTCTGTCCACAGAAGTTATAGTTGCTTTTCATCTGTTTTACAGATTAGGGTACTATGCGCAAATCGGCAGCTGCGTGAACATTTCACGTCATCATTGTGACCTCTCTGAGAACATAACCGATCCATTGCTCTCACACTGGGCTAAAGTTAAAGCTCATGTTGGTTCAGAAGAATCCAGTTTTGTTGAATCTAAAGAATTTATTCTGGCTAACCAGGGTAAGTGGTATTGTAAGCCAAAATTATAAATGTAGATAAGTGATTTGAGATTTTTTCACATGAAATTTGTGGTATTTCTGCTAAATCTAAAAAACAAGAGAAATATTTTTTGTGCAATACTGTTTGCTTGAGAATTTAAAAATACTAACTTAAGGAGTCAGGTTAAAGGTGTGCATAACCGGTTAAAGGCTGCAGACAAAGCAGCTTGATGCAGCCGGTCATTGTCCATTGGAAGCCCATGAATTTGAGTCTGACTATAGTTTCTAGTCTGTAGAGCAGGGGTTGGCAATTATTTTGGCTAGAGGGCCGCTTAGGGAGTTTCAGTGCGTTGTCATGGGTTGGGTCATCACCCTCCCTCTGCCCCCGCAACAGCTTACCAAAACTCCCTAAGTGGCCCCTGCACAAGCCCAGCAGTTGGGATGGGACCACAGGCAGATGGGAAACAGCATACAGGAGCAGGACAGGCAGGCAGGGCTAGAGCCAGGGCTGGGATTGGGATTGTGAATCAGTAACAGCACAGGGCCTGAGGCAGAGTCTCAATCTGCTTCTTACACATCCCTGCTGTAAATGCTGGTTCCGCAAGTAGGGGCGTACAGGCTCTGACCCGGGCCTGTGCCCCTGGCCCTGTGCTGTTCCTGCCCAGTGATCCCGAGGTTTTCATTGAGACCAGCCGGGACCTATGAGGGCAGGGTGCACAGCTAGGCAAACAGGATGGGACAGGTGGGCAGGGAGCTACATCTGGGAGTGGGATGGGTGAGGCCAGGGATCAGGATTGCAGGGCAGTGCCAGCATGGGGCTGAGGCCCAGGGAAGAGTTATGATCTGTTCCCCTCATGCCCCTGCCCATGGAATTGGGACAGCACGAACATTCGGGCAGCTGATCATGGCTCTTCTCCAGCCCCGCCCTGTCACCACCCTTCAGTCCCAATCTCCGGCCTCGTCTGCCCAACCTGCTCTTGGATGCAGCTCCCACGCCGCCCATGGCCACAGCTCGCCTGTCTGGCCGCACACCCTGTCCACATGGGTCCCACCCTCAGTGATGGATGCGGGGTGGACAGGCTGGGGTGCCCATGCAGTGCAGCGGGCAAACTGCTCTATGCTTAGGCTCTTAGTATAACTTTAGGCCTTCCTGGAACTAAGCAATTAAATTGTACAGAATGCCTTGTAAGGCACTGGGAAAAATGAGTGCTGTGATTAGTACAGTGGGATAACCAGGGACAGTAGTTTCCCTAGAAGGAAAGGAACCAAAACCAGAATAGAATTGGAGTACCTTATCTAAAAAAGATAGGGTAATAAACTTGAGTATTGGACAGTTTGAGATGAGAAAATTACAGAAGTAGTGGACAAAGAGACGGTGTGTATTCTGTGTTGCCACCGTTGGGAGACGGGAGCAACCTTGGAATTCTTGCTTTGAGTAACAAGGAATCCAGAAACTAACATCCCACACACCCAGGACAGGATCTGAGGATGGTACCACCTAAGGTCACTGTTGTAACATCTGAAGGAACCGCTTGCCAGGTCGTAGTACAAGGATAATAAGCTTATAATAAGCCGAGGTGTTACTAATAAAGTTCACTTGATACCAAATCAGACGAAGGGCTGTGTCAGTCATTGGGGGTCTCTGGTAAAAGGAATCCTGGGGCAACAGGCAGCAGGGCTGGGTCTGGCAGCAGCAACCAGAAGAAGTCAGCACTGAGACTGCCAGAAAATTGAGTCCGGCTGCTGTGCTGCCCCAGCCATGCTGTGCACTTGAGGACGGTGGACCAGCCACATGTGCCATGATGACCTCCTCCCTTCCCCCCCCCCTACCAATGGCCAAAGGTCCTGCTGCGGGCTGTACAAAATGCCATGGTAGGCTGGATCTTGCCTGCAGGCCATATTTTGCCCACCCTAGTAACAGAAGTTTTGCTGCTCAGGGTTGAGGGCCTGAACACAGCACAGCTTAATTACATATCATTGTTGTCTCAGGCAGAAGGCTTTGAAAGCCTTAAGTGAAGAGCAGCAATATGACAAGATCACGAAGATCAACAGATAACTCAAGAATTGGTGCTATAAAAATCAGGGGTCAGCATCTTTATGGTCCACAAGCCAGATGTGGCCTGTGAAGCAATCTTTTTTGAATGCCTGGAGAAATAGCATTTTTGGATTAAGGCTGGCACAAGCAGTAAGAGAGAATGAAGTGAGACTGTTCAGAGGAACTTGTAATTTCCATGCCTGGTTGAGCACTGAGGATGGAAAGTCAGATAAATGTGGGTTTGGCGATGGCTAAAGAAATATCAGAGAGTCAAAGGATGGACAACAAGGAGAAAATGCTAAAGCTGATGAGAATGTTGATGGACTCATGGTTAAGGATGGGGCTGTATTTAATATCCGTGATCTAAGGGAATGATTTGTAGGAAACGATTGAAACATTTGTATACCGATGACTGGAGTTTAGGGAACAAAATTTGAATTATTGGCATGAGTATGAAAATTGGTTAAACTTGGATGTAGCGATCACAAGGAAACTGCACTTCAAATAGAAGAAAAAATAATAGGTCTGTAGGCTTTAAATTTCAAAGAGCAAACCTTTATAAATTAATACAACTATGTACTAATATCAGCTGGATTGAGGCACTCACAAACAGACTTGAATGCAGAGAGGTCTAGAAATTTCAGCATTTTTAACAGGACGAAAAATCGGGGATCTCTGTTTCAGGGAAGGGACTTGAGACCAACTGGAGAATAAACATTTCATTAAATATAGACGCAATGGGCAAAAAGCCTACAATAAATGGAAAAAGGACTGTTATCTGGAAGTATCAGAATTTCAATGTACTTATATTGTAAAATAATTCCAGCTATACTGTGTACCTAATGTTAAATGCTTTGGACTTCTTCAGCATGAATAGTACTTGTGAGATTTAAATTGGTATGGAAAAGTGCCTCTGGCTTTATTTAAATTCCTTTTAACATCTATTAAGGTAACATAATTATATCTGTATTCCAGTGTCCAGCATTACAATGCTTTTTTCATGACTAGGAATAAACCCAACCTTTCTGGCTTGTCATTCTTTTAATTTCTGATAAGATTTGTTATTTTTAACTTGTGACCTTTGTTTTACTGTGGTATTGACTTAGTCTGTGCATGATACTAAATGACCTCATCATTTAGTAGGGCTGTGTTTCATGCTCTACCTGGCACTCTGTTTATCTTATTTATAGTAGCAGTTAAAAAAAAGTCAATTTTAAGGCTTCATCTAAGTTGTAAAATAGCATTGGTTTAATTTTAGTTGCTTTCAAACTAATACAAATCCACATGTAGATATTTGTTTCGGTTTAAAAGTGATTTATTACATACTAGTTTATACCTAATAATGTGAGCTCAAATGAAAAAGCTACTAGAAAATCATAAGGATATCTAAACTCATAGATAGGGCCTAGTTTTGCCCTGCTGTATATCCAATTTTAAGTCTGTGCATTTAACGTTTAATCATTTAGACTGTTTTGCCATTTTTCAATCCTTGTTTTTGGCTGTAAGCTGCTCAGCAGACCTTTCTGTCTTGTTTTCTCATTGTTGTTGGCCAATTTTTCTAGATTTTACATATCCAGAAACCTAGAATCCAGTGCTTCCAAAACTTTTTTTCCTCAGCATGACCCAATTTATGACTCCATTTCCTCAGCATGGCCCCTCACTCCCAACTCTCACAGCCCTCCCACAACCCCAGGTGCCCCTCACTCCCCACCCACAGTCCCCTGACCCTGGGGGTGTTCCTCATGCCCAGGCCCTCAGCCCCTACCTCCCCCCACCCCACCCCACCAGCGCCTGAGCCCCAGCTGCCACCCACATGAAGCAGCAGCTGCTGAGGCCAGAGCACCAAGCCCAGCTCCCCATCTTGCCATACCCTGTTACCTCCCCCATGGGCAGCACAGTCAGAGCAGAGCCTGTGGTGGGTGGGTGCAGGGAGGATGCAGGTTGCCCGCTGTAAGCTTGGGGCTCCCAGCCCTGTTGCCCTTCCCCTGGGCCTCTGCAGCCCAGTGGGCAGGACCTGGTATGGGAGAGAGCATGCGCCATGACCTCACTCGCTGACGTTGCGAGTCCATTTGGGGTTGCGACCCGCAGTTTGTGAACTGCTAGTATATTTCATTCTCGATATTACTGCTGTTACATTAACAAGATTCGTCCCACACCTCCTTTCTTCAACGTTCCTGTTATTGGATTGCTTCTTAAAATTCTGGCATGTCTTTTGAAAGTTTCTCAAAACTTGTTCTGTACTTGAGTTTGTTTGGTTTTTTTTCACATCTCATTCTGTATCAAAATTTTCAGACTAATAAGAGGCACAATTGTGTTTCAGGTAAAATAGGTACACCTACACTGACTGTTTTAACTCAGGGCAATGAACTGAAGGTTGATATCTTCCACCCTGCCTGTCTACCTGAGAATCTTCTTGAGTCTTGTGAGGAAGTTGACTATCTAGTGTATTTTCAGGACCATGAAAATCAGGTACTTTTTAGATTATATATTTGAATAGGACAGCACATTTTATACAGGAGATCTGTTAACAAATAATCTTTATTTTTATTTTAACTTTAAGTTATATCCACCACAATTGAACTTGGATTTCAAGAAATTATTAAGAATTACATTTGGAAGCTGAAGGCATGATATTTTAATGTAGAGGCCTAATCCATTCTCTGTGAATGTTCATGGCATGCAGTCCATTTATTTCTGTAGAAGCTTTTTTGTGTGTCCCCATTTAGTCACCTAATCTATCAAGGTTTTCACTTATCATTCCTTGTTGTGTTGAGTACCATGGTTGAAATAGTGGGAGTACTTGTATCCTCCTTATTCAGTAAAATAGTTCATTGTTCTGTCCTTTGTACTTAATTTACATTTTTCAAGTATTGCTTTTAAGTTTTTTTAAATTTTAAAAACACCCCCCAAAATGTGTTTTCTTGCAGACTAAAGAACTTAAGACAGACTTGGAATCATGTGAGGAGCATAAATGCAGTATAAGCTTTTTAGTTCCTTCTACAGGTTTAACCTACTGTGTCTCAGCTAAAGTTAATTCATGGTGTGAAATGCGTGGTGACCGGTCAAATGAAACTTGTGTTCATGTTCCTTTGAAACTTCAACTAGGTAAAAAACTTTTTTTTTAATAACCTGATCTGCTATGTCCAAAAAAATTGATGCAATGGATGTTGTAACACTTTATAACATTTGTGACCAGCTTTGTGGTTTTCTACTTGATTGGTACCATAATGTTTTGGTTATGTTGGATAATTAACAAACAACAAAGGTACCAGTAGGCAAGTTCTATAGTTCCAGAAGCTTCATACCGGTCTTCCTACAAGTGATTTACTTGACCAGGTAAAACATGCAGAGTTGAGGAATAATAAACATGAAAAATTAGAGCAAGCGTATACATTTTCTTGAGAAGAATGAGTAACCTTCTTGTTGCATGTTAAATATAATATTGTGGCACGGCACTGGACACGTTTACCACTTTAAAAGAGCCAGGCTTACTGCGGAGCCCTGACAGGTGAGGCCAATGCAGCTAAGGAGTCAGCAGACTCCAAGGCTGACAGCTAGGGTGGATTAGGAGATGCCTCACATGACTGATGAGGGGGCAGCTGACTGGCAGGAACCTGGGCTGAGACAGGGCATGAGTTCAAGCTGGGAGGATGGCTGCAACACCAGAGGAGCTGAGGGAGCATCACTCGCCAGGAAGAAGACACCAGCTCCTGAGGACCATCTGTACCACCATAGGATAGGATAGGAACTATTAGGGAGGTAAAGGTTCCTAGGGACCCAGAGTGGGGTCCACATCCTTGCAAGGAGCTGAGCGGTGCCTGTGAGAAGAGCTAGACCAGTCCAGAGGGAAAGAAGGCTGCATACCTAGAGCCCCAGGAGAAGGCAGGCCTGCCCTGGGAGAGAGGGGCAGAGGTAACTAGGGCCTAGAAAGAGGCTAGGCCAGCTCAGTGAAAGGTCACAGGCTGGGAGAGGGGAAGAACCAGACCAGTGCAAAGAGCAGGGCAAAGTCATCAGGCCACAGAGATTGACTAAGTGGGGCCACAGAGCTAAGGCCAGTCCATGTGAGATTGGGTACAAGGCCAAAGCGTACCTGAACAGCAGGGGTGGATATGATCCAGAAAAAGAGGTACCTCAAGGGGGCCCATGAGGCAGGACCCAGGATGGGAGAGGGCTAATGGCCAATGTTACTGGCGTTGAGGACCTTGACTGGCCTGGGCCTGGGCCTATCTGGGCCTAAAGGGTGAAATAGACCACTGCAGAGAGCCTGACACCTCAACTGGCCTGGTAACAGGGCCAAGGCCTCAGGGAGGCAGAAAGTCCCGATGGAGTGGGACTACTACAGAGAAGTAGGGACCAGGGCCATCATAGCTCGTGGCAGTCATCCAAGGAGTATTGGTAGTGGATGGGGTCTGGATAAGGGTTGGGGCCAGGAAAACTGTGACGTGGAGTCAGGGCCAGAGAGCTTGATAACACCAGCCCAGGAGAGGGCCACAAGGTGGCCCCCAAGGGAGGCCCACAAGGAAAGATAGTAAGACCAGATAGGCCTGATGATGGCCCTGGGTAAAACCAAAAACCGCACCCTGCTAAAGTTGGTTGACATGGTGGGACTGCCTGTTGCAGGGCAGCCCCCAGTAAATGCCCTGCTTATGTCACTCCAGTGAAAGGTGAGGGTGGGGTGCTGGAAAACCTCAGCCCCCACTGCCTTGTGGGTTACCCCATGGAAGGGGAAGGCTAAGGAAGCTCACCCTTTCAGAAAAGTGAGGGGCAGAAAGGAAGAGCATCTGGGCCATGGGGTCCAGCTGCCCTGGTAGGGATGTGAAGAGGCCTAAGCAGAACAGAGCCAAGTCTGAAGGGGCCTGAGCAGAGCCATGTCTGGATGAAATAGAGAAGGCCTGAGCAAGCTGGAGCCAGGTCTGTGAGGGGGAGAAGGCCTGAGCAAACCAGAACCTGGTCTATGTAAGATGAGATAGGCCTGAGCAAGCCAGAGGTAGGTTTAGGTAATACTGAGGGTCTAAGCAGCCCTGAGTCAGGTTTGAGGATGATTGAGAAGGTCTAGATAGGAGTGAGCCAGATCTGAATGTAGCTGAGGACAAAGCTGAAGGGCCTGAGTAGGGTCTTGAGTTGAGTTAATAGGCCCAAGATGAGTTGAGAGGCCAGAGTTAAGGAGAACAGCCTAGCTGAGGACTGAGTTATAAGGTGGCCCAGTAGGAGCACAAACCAGATGTGAATAGAGTAAACCAGATATGACAGTAGAGTGAACTAGATATGATGACTGAGTACAGCCCAGCATAGGCATGAGTCGAGCTGTATCCCAGCTGGGGGCAGTAATCAGATGTGATAGCTGAATACGTTCCAGTTAGAGGCATGAGCTAGAAGGTGACCCAGCTGTGGGCATGAACCAGATGTGACAAACTGTATGCCATATGTGAGGCATGGGACATGGTGTATTGGAGGTGAGGAGCCATGTGTTTGGCTCATAAGGCCACAAAGAGTAGTCGGTACAGTTACAATCAGGGCAGCCTCCCACGGTGTATATATTTACAGGAACAACAAGGCATGGTGGGCGAGTATGGGGTGAACTGTCCTGAGAACAGGGTGGGAACAGAATCTTTTTTTTGGGTGCCCTGACACCACCCTGTCACAACTATGTACATATAGTGCTGAGAGTTTAAGGGTGGTGAGGGGTGGGTTTTTGTTTTGTTTTGGGGGGGGGGGGGGGG